TTACTAAGACTTTGAACGTGTTTCCACCTATTTTGCGTCAAATTAAATCGGCATCCAACAATCTGCATTTTTGGCCAAATTGTTTTTGCACCAATATGTATAGCTTCTTCAAAATCAGAAACTATTTTCGATGAACTGAATAATAAATTTATTTCTGAACATTTTTCAATAACATAACCAAACGATCGCGCATACGTGTCTTTACATTTATCGGGTAGTAAAAAGTACACAAGTGGAACATAATGTCCATTCTTAAAAATGTAGATGGTAAAAAGCTGAAGAAAATATTTTGCACAGTATGTAAAAGTACAATCCACAAATATTTTTCTACTGAACATAATAATTTTAAGTTAGATTTTGTTGAAAAAMAAATAATTTTGTTATCTGAATCTACAACAGTAAAATTTTCATCTTGGAAGGTTTTAATTTGACGCTCACTCATTACATTGATTACTTCCGTAAGATTTGTTGGAAATTTCGGATATGATGATTTACAAGCACGGTATAAACATTGATATATAATATTATCTGTACTTGTTAAAGTTTGTGTCACTACTGGATTAATTAAAATGCTTCTATTAATGATTTTTGAAGGCCTTTCCAATTCGTCTTCCGATTTCTATTTAAGTCCTGATTTTTTTTTTTAAATACTTGATTTAGTTTCTTTGCTAAGGTTGACATTATGAATACTTTCATTTTTCAATATTGTATTTTTTGCTTGATTTACATACATTTTTGCAGTACACTTTTTTTTAATACACTGTCATTTAAAAGCWTCTAAAATATATTTGACATGGTCTTTTGATTAGTAAATTTGACTGATTAGTAACATGGGAAGATTGGGTAGTCCATATTTTAATAATATAAATATATATAGATATAATAATATATAACAGTCGGGCTCAGACAGCTAAAGCGATAACTAGTGCGCCGCCGTAGTTTCGTAATGCGTCACGTATCGTACCTTATCTTTCCATTTAATTGTCGCAACGAGGTATTAAAAACGTGTAATGGCCACGGTTTCACCAATTGTTATTCTAAACAAAAAAACAGTTCGTAAAAAGAAAACTATGGAAAATCCTACTACAAAGAGAGCTCTCTCGTCGACCTCCTCAAACTCCCCGACCTACGTGGATAAGAAAAACAAAGTTTTTGTTGTAACACCAAATCGTTTCGAAGTTCTAGAAATGGAGGAACAAGACAATGTTTTCGTGAAAACAGAATCTCAGCTCACCTCACAAACTACCAAGACCTCACCAGAACCGAGTAAGATAAAACTCCCAAATATCGTACTAACAAACGTTACTGATTTTATAATCCTCAAAAATGATTTAACTATAGCATAGTGGGACCAGAGGGTTTCACATGCAAAGCTAATAGATCTAATATTATCGTTCGGCCAAACACACGCGAAAACTGGATGGCCATTAAATCATATCTGGTTGATGCCAATTACGATTACCATTCTTATCTCCCCCGTTCCTCACAACCATTCCGAGTCGTGCTACGCCACCTTCACCACTCCACGCCTACCGTGGATATTATAAACTACCTTAGTGACCTAGGGCACAAAGTCAACAGTATCTCAAAAATAATACACCACACGAACAAATAATTACCATTTCCTCTATTTAATATAGGCCTGGCCCGCAACAACAATAATCGAGAAATATTCAAAATAACAAAAATATTAAACTCAATAGTGAAATTCGAATATCCAAAAAGACGGTCCGATCCTCCTCAATTTCATAACTGCCAAAAATATGGACACACACGTAATTATTGCCATCACGATCCACGCTGCGTAAAATGCGGATCAGAACACCCAACTAACGAATGCACAAAACAACGGGAGGAACCCGCAAAATGTGCAAATTGCGGTGGAAACCACACTGCAAACTACAAAGGATGCCAATCTCTTAAAAAATTACTAAACCACACCAAACCAAAAAATAAAAAAATAAATAAAGAACATCAACCTATTCCAACACTTGCTATACCGCCTATACCACCTCCATCTCGAAGAAGTGGAAATGAAGCCTCCAGTTCAAACTCAAAAGGAAAACCGTCATACGCCGAAATCGCAGCTAACAGACCACCACCCGATCAATCTCTACACGTCATACCCAAATTCCTCGACGAACTAAAATCTATACTTAACCCCCTTCTCACTGTTTTAACATCCCTAATAAACAAAATAACACTCCCTATAACTCCTACTCCATAACACACACACACACACACCACATATTCCATACATCAATAACACAAACACACAGTATATTTATTATATATATAA